ATAAGATTTTAAACAATTTTTTCCTATGTATACTATCATCAATCAGTTTTCAAAATATTTGCAAACAATAATTGCTAATAATATTGAATTTTATCTATTTATTTATATATACAACATTATTATATGGATTAAAATTGAAATATTTCAAATCCATTAAAATCCATGAGAAATTAGTTTATTGATCAATTTATTCATTATAATATAATTAATGGAATTTATATTTACTTGAAACAATTTTGCAGCTAGTTTTAATCCTTCATCACTTTCTAAAGATTGTGCTGCTGCAACTGAACTTTGTAAAGCAGCAATATTAAATAATACACATACTTTTTCATATGATAATGTACTAATGGCTGAAAATATCAAATATCATATCTTATTTTAAATATGAATGTTATAAAATAAATATCAAAAATTTAACTTTAAATATGGGGCCAATCTAAAATGACCTTATCTTATCTATGTATTTATTAATCACTTAAAATCCAATACAGACAATAAAAATGATATAAAATGAAATATAATATATAAAATATAATATAAAATAAAATGACATAAAATGATATAAAAATGATATATTAAAATATATATAATTTTATAATAATATATTAAAAAAATCTTACTCAAACTGAGTTTTCCACCAAATATAGTACGATCAAATGCATCTTTCCATTTAAATGGAATTTGTAATTCATGGGCAGGTATCTTGCCTTCTAATGCACATAATTGATCATAGTAACTAAACAAAAGAAAAAAATTTTTATCTAGGAAATGATTATTAATTGAAATAAAATTTTATATATTGTTAATAATAATTAGTAATTATATTCATTATATTTTAAAAAATAAATGTTCAAATATTATTCTATTAAATTACATTAAAAATATAATTTAAATACTATTAATCATATTATTTATCATTTTAAAAAATTATCTTATTGTATTATATCTTGTAGTATTTTATAATAAACACATTTTTAAAAAAATAAAATCCAATGTAAAATATTATAATATTTTTTATAATATTTCTTATTATACTATTTTAATTAATAATTACTTAAAAATGACTCATACCTGTATATAACCTCTAAAGAACTTTCATATTTCTCAAAAGCTCGCCATAATGCATTGTTTCTTAATTTACTAAAATCTGCAATTGCTTCTGTATAATCTTTTTGATTATTATATGTTGATTTAATAACATTTGTAAGCGGCTTAATTACATCAACGTCAGACGGTTTTTTTAATGGCACTGCGATTAACTCAGCCATTTTGACGTGTAACTGAAATCGAACTAAATACTTATTTACTAATCTTACTTATGTACTTATCTACTTATATCTAACGATAAGATATTTTATATTCATTATATATATAATTAATATTATGACACATGATACTTTTATAATGACATATATATCTATTTTCTGTTTTACATAGTAAGCAAAATTTTTTAATTCAAAATTTTTTTAAATTTAAAAAATAATATATTTATAAATTTAATAAGTATAACATGGCATATTATTTTTCTATTAAAAAACTATTTTAAATATTAAATTTATTATCGTTTTTATTTATGTTCACAAATTTATCTTCTATAAATAATATATTTAATAATATTAAATTTTCAATAAAATAATATGATATAAATATAAAAATCTACAATAAATGATAGATATATTAATTTATTTAAAATTTGTTAAACAAGCAAATAAATATATATAAGAATATATATATAAGAATATTATTATTATATATATATTATTATAATATAATTCATTATCATTTTGTTTTGTACGACATGAACATAAAAAATATTTTGATTAATAATTGTCCATTTGCATATTATGTTTTTTGAAGTCATAAAAAGAATTCGCGCCTTGTAGAGTTGCATATTTTTATTAATTATATGAACTAGATCGCGTATGTCGCTGGTTGTCATAAATTATCTGCGTCATCTTTAGATATTTGCAGATGAGATTTTTATAAGTGATTTTAGCGAATCTTTAATTTTCTTCTGTTGTGTCTAATTCATAAAAATTAAGGTGAGGATAAATAATTATAAAAGAGATAAAGGATTATATAGCGATGAAAATTTTATTTTATAAGATAAAAAAAACATATGAAATTATATTATTTCTATGCATGTATATTTTTTTGAGACGCATAATAACATTCGTTTATTATATTAAAAAAATATTAAAAAATTAATGCAAATATATTGTAATTTTTCAAGGTGTTATTTGTCTTATCTTACACATTTGTTCCTATGCAATAACTTATACAGAAAAATACTATTGATTTCATTTTAAAGATATTGAAACGAAATCAGGGTTATTTTTTTTTATAAGTATATGCATATAAAATTTAAAAAAAAACAATAATATTGTTATTTTATACAAAGTTAAATAATATAATTTTAATTGTTTCTTATCATTAAAAGATTATTGCAATAAACATAATCATAAATATACATATTTTTCATAAATTATTCATTATTACAAAACATTATTTATTTTTTCACTTATTATAACAATATTATTTTTTTTTTTACTATATATTTCTTTATACAGGTTAATCTTACATCATAAAAATGACTTTAATCGAGGGTGTTGGAGATGAAGTGACAGATTTTTTTATAGTTGTGGCTGTTCTCTTAATAGGATGGCTTGCATGGTATTCTACAAGTATTACAGATCAACCATTAATCCGCACAGTACTTGTATTACGTCGAACACGCACACGTCTTGCTGAACTTAGAGCTAATCATCAAAATGCAAGCTCATTTACACGACCTCCAAATTTGGAGGTAACTGAAGAAGAAACAATAGAACCAATTGCAGATGATAATAATGGCAATTCACAAGCTTGTCCTGAACCATCTATTGCAGGTGATATGTCCTATTTAAAATACTTCTAAGAACATAATAAAAATATTAGAATTATTTATTATTTGTCACAATAGACACAAATGAAGAAATTTCTCCTGACACACATAGAACATCTGAAGCAACAGCTACAGAGGAAGTACTTATTGAAGCTATGGATTCATTTAATAATGATTGTGCAACAAAATTACAAAAACAAACCAAATTAAGCTCTTCTAAAGAAACAAGTATATCAACATCAACATGTAATGATTCTATAGAACATGAACATGAAACTCTTTCAACAACAGATGCTAATGAAATTAGCATCAAGCTTAAGTTTATAAATGATGATCAAAAAATGGTTACTGGTAGCTTAAAAGAATTGCTTGGAGATTTTAAAAGGTATATTTTAATTTTTGTATACTAAATAAATATATAAAATTTATTAATTTATTAATTTTATTAATTTATAAATAAAATATGTAATGTAACATAATGAAATGAAATACATAATTACATATTTTCAGGAGGCATTTTCAAACAGAGCTAGATGCACAAAAATTAGTGCGTTTAGTTTTTAATGGTCGAGTACTGCAGCCTGACAATCAAACGTTGGAAAGATGTGGCTTATATAATAATTGTGTAGTTCATTGTTTGGTTCATCAACCACGACCAAATCCTGTATCATCTCAAACATCAACATTAGATAATTCATCACCAATTTATTTTAACCCTCAATCATTTTCTGATATTCCTGTTGGCACAGGAATTAGTTCTGTGCATAATGAATGGGATTTGAGTAGACCATTAGTGGTCATTTTGACTGTCATGTTAGGTTTCGCTTGGTATTCCCGATATCATTATGCTCAATTTTTTACCGCGAGTACAACTCTCGCATTATATGCACTCACTGCAATTTTCGCAATGTCAGTAGCTTTAATATTATGTCATTAGTTAGTAATTTTTTTTCAATCAACAATGCAACATCAGAAATATTGCGTGAATTTATAGCAAAGAAACAGTTAAAGACATTATTTTGAAATATGATTTTGTAAACATTAACGTGTGTTTTCAGTGTAACATCATTTAAACACATTGGTTCCTGACATAAAAGAGAACGTGAAGGGTTATTGTGATTTTTATCAATGTATAAAGGAATTCATATGAATAATATATCAAGTATACTTAGATAGTATGGATTTGCATTTCAAATTTTAAATCAATTTATCTGCATTTTTTCTTTTTTTTAACTCAAAATTTTAATTTATATATTTACAAAGGAAATTTCCTTGGATTTATAAAAAACTATGATTATAAATGGGAACGTATTTAATATTAAATTTATAAATTCGAGCAATTAATATTTTGATAACTAGCCAATATTTGTTCATTTAAATATATTTGCGAAATTAATTTTGATAAATATTATTCATTTGTTGAATTAGTCATAATAAATGTTATAAATGACAATTTGCAATAATGCTATATCATTTTCAACAAAAAATTTATTATATATTTACATATTTATAATATTTTTATGGAATTTAAAAATTACTATTGAATTGATCTATATATATCTTAAACTTGAATATACTATGTATAACTATTATAAATTGCAATTATTGAAACAAAATTATTATACTTTTTATAAATCTTCCAAAATTTCTAACTTTAGAATGGAAATTACGTAATACTAATGTTTTTTGGAGCATTATTACTGAGCATTATGAATTGTTAAAAAAAAAAAATAAAAGTTATTAACAATGTGTATATATACATATAACTTATAATGTATTAAGCAATCATAAAATTATAATTTATTAAAACATACAGTTTATATTACTTTCAAAAAAGGAAATTTGTTACTTTTTCTGACAAATGATGTCGATTTATCCTTATTTCTGTAATAGACTGTATTATAGTGGTAAAAAAATCAAATTATATAATAATATTACAATTTTTATTGAATATGAAATAAATAGTTATTTATTTGATGTTTTCATGTATTAACATATTTCATAGTTCAATTGATTTTATGTAAATAAAAATTTATTTTTCATCCATGAATTTAACAGAATTAAAAAATAAAAAAAAATTCTCAATTCAATGAAAAAAGGTATATTTATATACTATATAGTTTATAATAATAATCTTTTATTAATTCTTAATTATAAAAATGATGTAATTACATACTGTTTTCCACAAAATTGAATGATTTATAAATTCTTATATAAAATAAATAAATATAATATGTGAATAAAGTTACCACCAATTCAGAATTGGTATTTAAATATACAATGTATAGTTCGTAGAATTAATATTTAATATGAATTTCAATTTAAATTTGAATGAAATTATTAAATTTTGAAAAACATTTTAAAAATGATGTACGTATGTAAAATAAATAATTAATGAAAAATCACTTTTAAATAGAAATTAACTTAATTGAAGTGTTTTTCCCCAAAATTCGTTTAATACCTCAGGTATAGGTTCAGAAATATTAAGTTTATTAAAAAAAATATTTAATTGTTCTTTTAACATTGCATTATTTAAATTAAAATTTCCTTTTGGATTTTCTAAAAGAATAGTACCTTTCCCTAAAATGCTATTGATATTAATAAATTTACAAACAGGATGTTTTAATACTGAAAATGATTGAGTTATAACTAAACCTACTTTTATTACTTTTATTGTTTGTTGATGCAATGATAAAATATTCGTTTCTTCCGATAGTGGTTTATTATCAACGTATAAATTATAAGCACAACCATAAATACCAAATATTAATTGAATTTCATACTTTAATTGATTATAAGAAATAGGAACTAATGTGTTAGGAGTTTCTAATAATACAGTTCCTATACAATTAGTTGCACCAAATCTTGGTTTTATGCCTATAAGTTCAATATTTACGTATTTTAAAAAAGGTTTTACATTGTTTTTATCATTTTCAATATCAGGTTTTACTAAAATAAGTTTCATGTCAATATTTTTAATTTTTTGCATTTCTTCTATGATTATATTTGCATTATTTGACATTTTCGATATATTTTCTTGTGGAGTTTTAGTTGCATTTTCAATAAATTCTTTATGACTGATAATTACTTTTGCCAAATTACTATTTTGATCTTGTATTTCATAATATACAATGGCTTCATCAGATGGAACTAATTGAGCTTTCTTTCTTAGCTTCTGAATTCTATTGATTATTTCTCTTGCCATTCCTTCATTATGCATGTTTTCATCAGAAGTAACATCTAATAAAATTAAAACATTTCCTTCACTATGAGCTTCATACTGTTTTGACAATTTTTCAGCTGCTGGACCTGTGAAACTAAACATAAGTCGTAAATCTTGTTCCTCTAATTTATGACCTTGTATAATAATTTCTTTTTTTGCAACAAAAATTTGCAATTCTTCATCAGAAAGTTCTTTAATAGCTTGAGTAACAGATTTAAATTCTCCTTTAAGACGAGCTCCAAGTATTTTATGATCTGGTTCTGCTTTTAATTTAACACCATATTTTTCCTTATTTGTAGTAACAGTTAATTCTTTTATATTAAGTTCCTCAAGAATATATAATTCCAAAGATTTTATTTCTTTCAATACTTCAGCATCTTGATGAATTACTACAATTTCTGGTAATGGATATTTAACAGGAATTGTTTTTCTATCTCTTATAACACGTCCTAATTCAATTACAGTTTGCATATAAGATACAGCCTTTTCAATTTTTTCATCTATTAATTTTGAATTAGATTCTGGTATCATTTGATAATGAACACTGTCCATATTAGCTTTAGATGGAGGAAGTAATTTAACCAAACGTTGAAACATAAATTCTGTTAAAAATGGTGTAAATGGTGCATTTACACGTACCATTATATAAAGAACAGAAAATAAAGTTGTCAAAGCTTGTTGACAATCAATTACACCACCATCTCCCTTTATACGTTTTCTATTCATTCTTACATACCAATTAGTAAGATTATCTATATATTTTATTAAATGAGGAACCACAGTATATAATTTATAAGCATGCATTTCTCGTTTAAAAAATTGTAATAATGTTTGTGTAAAAGATAAAATCCATCTATCCATTATATTACTAGAACATACATTTTTAAAATCATCATATACAAAAGTAATTTTTTCTTCTCTTTCAAATTTTTCAATATTTTGCATTAAAAATCTAAATGCATTGTACCAAGGTAAAAAAACATCTTTTATAATATCTCTAACTCCTTCTTCTTTAAAACGCAGATTTTCTGCTCTAACAACAGGAGAATTAATTAAGTATAAACGAAGAGCATCTGCTCCATATTTATTAATAATTTCCACAGGATCTGGATAATTTTTTTTACGTTTAGACATTTTTTGTCCATCAGATGCAAGTATTAAACCATTAGCTACCAGATTTTTAAATGGAGCTTTTCCGAAAAGAGCTGTTGATATAACTAAAAGAGTATAAAACCATCCACGAGTTTGATCAATACCTTCACCAATAAAATCAGCTGGGAAATTTTCTTCAAATTCTTTCTGATGTTCAAAAGGATAATGCATTTGTGCATATGGCATTGATCCAGATTCAAACCAACAATCAAACACTTCAGGTATACGTTGTAAAGGTGAGTATCCTGGTCGTTTTGATGGTATAGTTAAATGATCTATATTTTCTCTATGAATATCTGTTATTTTTGTATTAGTTAATTCTTCTAATTCTGCAATACTTCCTACACATACAATTTCTTGTCCATCTTCTGATATCCACAGAGGAATTGGATTACCCCAATAACGGTTTCTACTAATAGTCCAATCACGAGCATCTTTTAACCAATTACCAAATCGTTTTTCTTTAATATAATCTGGTATCCAATATGTATTACTATTTGCTGCAAGAAGTTTATTTTTTATAGCTTCCACTCTAATAAACCATGAAGGTACAGCTTTATATATCAATGGTGTATCAGATCTCCAGCAATATGGATAACTATGTTTAGTAGTGCCATTATGAATTAATCTTTTATGTGTCTGAAGATACTTAATAATATCTTTATCAGTATCTTTTACATATTTTCCAACAAAATCATGTACTGGTTCTATAAAACATCCACAGCTATCAATAGGACATATAATTTCTTGATCTCTTGTTATTACTCCACCTTCCAAACAACATCGATAATCATCTTCTCCAAAATATGGAGCTTGATGAACAATACCTGTACCAGTTTCTGCTGTGACATATGTATCATTTAATATTATAAAGGCACCCTTCTCTTTTAAATTTTGAAAATATGGAAAAGGAGGATTATAAATCTTTCCTTTTAAATCACATCCTTTCCTTTTACCTTGTATAGTATATAAATCTTTAGATTTGTAAATAAGTTCTAAACTTGATTCTAATATAATATAAATATTACCAGATGCATGATCTTTAACTTCTACATATTCAAAAATAGGATTACAGCAAAGAGCCAAGTTGCTGGGTAAAGTCCAAGGTGTAGTAGTCCAAGCAAGAATATAAACACCTGGTTCATCTACTAATGGGAATGATACAACTATGGAAGGATCAATAACATCTTTATAATTTTGTCCTGATTCAAAATTAGATAAAGGTGTATTACAACCAGTGGAATATGGCATTACTTTAACACCTTGGTATACAAGACCTTTATTGTATAATTCTTTAAAAACCCACCAAATAGATTCCATATACCAAGGATATAATGTTTTGTAATCATTTTTAAAATCTATCCATCTACCAATTCTACCTACAATTACTTCCCATTCTGTTGCATATTTCATTACAATATTTCGACATTCTTTATTATAATTTTCTATTCCCATTTTCATAACATCATCAGGACCTTTTATATTCAATGTTTTATCGATTTCAAATTCGACAGGTAAACCATGAGTATCCCAGCCGAATCGTCTTTCCACATGATAACCAGATTGATAAGCATATCTTGTTACAATATCTTTTATTGTACCTGCAAGTATATGTCCATAATGAGGTAATCCAGTAGCAAATGGTGGACCATCATAAAATGAATATTTTGGTCTTCCTTTTGACAATTTTAAAGAATTCTGAAACGTATCACATTTTTTCCATAATTCTAAAATAATCTCTTCTTCTTTCGAAAAATTAATTGTTTCAGGAAGTTTTTCTTTCATGTTTATAATTATAAAATTTTAATAACTAAATAATAAATATTTTAGAAAATATTTAGTACCAATTGGTACGTTGATGCAATTATCGAATTCAAAGTGTCATGTATTAAAAGAAACACGTTATCAAATTACACGTAATGAAATTTTAGAGGTTAGCGCTGATTTGAAGCACGTGTTTCTATAAAGGTGAACATAGCATTCAAATTCAAAGAATATATTTTTTGAATTTAATATTTTTAAAAGTCTTTTAATATATACAGAAAATTAAAATTTAATTTAAATATATGTATATATAAAAAATTTATATAAATATTTTAATAATTAAGCTATTTTATTAGATATACAATCAATCATAAAAGTCACTATCTTAAAAAAATTCACATTTCCGAAAATTTTGATTTTTAATAAAAGTTTGTATGTAAAACATAATATAGAATATAATGAATTATCAATGAAATAATTTTTTTGATCAATGAGAAATCTGAGAGATAAAATTAAATTTTAGCAATTTTTCATGTTTTAAATATAATTTTGTTTGGGAATTTTTTTTTTATAATAGTATAATGTTAAAAATTAAATATTTTTTATTTGAAAACTTTTATTCTATTTAACATAATTTTATTCTATTTTATTTTATTTAACATAATTTAATATTTAAAAAAATAAAAAAATCATTAAAACTTTGATTGTTTATTTTACTTTTTTCAGGTGATATTTTATTTGAAAAAATATTATTTCTTATGTAATTCATTATATTCTATGTATTTATGAAGTACTTTATTAAAAAAAAAAACTTCTATAAAAATTAAAAAATGAAAAAATAAAAAATTTTTGTTATTTATAATAAAATTTTATAAATATGTAAAATATAATAAATATAATAAATTATATATAAAGCAATTTTTTTTTAACAAAATTCATTTGAAAGAAATGAAATCAATAATCAAAATTTCTGTGCTCAATTTTTCATTTTTTTAAATGTAATTCTCTAATAATGCTAAATAGAGTAAAAATTTTTGAATAAAAAATATTTTAATGTTTTATTATACTATTATATTTTATTGCACAAAAATTTTCAGATAAAATTATATTTAAAATATATATATATATATATATATATATAATGATGTTAAAACTATAGAATTGATTTTATTTATTCAAAAAAATTTTCATATTTTCATATAATGTTATGTTATAAAAAAACATACAAATAAATTTTCATTAAAATGAAAACTTTTTGAATTAATTCAAATCAATCAAGGAATTAGGATTTTTCAAATTAGAATTTTTTTTATGATTTACTTATATATTATGATAATCAAATACAATTTTCGTATAACTATAAATATTATTAAATTTATTGCGAATATTGTTTATTATTGTTTGTTATATTAAAACAATTTTTCATATAACAAACAAAATTATATATAACATAAAAATTAAAAAAATTAATGACTAGAAATTTTTTTGTGCGTGGTATTTTCGATCATATCATATAAATGAAATATTTATAATTATTGAGTAACTTGCGATATTTTTTGTCGTTGTCTACCAGTATAAATAATTTGCCTTTGCTCATCTGGATGAATAAGTTCATCTGTATGTTTCCAACGCCACTTTTTTTCGCTTTCTTTAATTCGTTTGTGGTCGATATAACTAATAACACAACTAGTAGGAATCCATACAGTGGCAGTAATAATTATAACAGCACCTACTATATTATCTTTCAAAAAACGCATAACTTTATTAATGTTTATATCTTCAATAATATCCCAAAATCGTTCTACTACATCTTGAATTGTTTTTTCACAAACACCCTGAAAATATTTATTTATATTTTACATATAAAGTACACAAAGCATAAAGCATATACATTCAATAACATTACCTTGTTACAAAAACCTTGAATACATGGTGTTCCATCAGGTAAAATATCTTGTGGATCTATAGGAAAACATGTTTCGTTCAAACTCATTCGACAGCATCTTTTACATGCATCTCCAACTGCAAATAAAAATTTGATATAAATATATATCATTATTTATTTATTATACATATAAAATATAACATATAAAAGCCATACTTGTATCACACATGCAACTTTGTAAGCCTTGTGTTTCACAATATGGTACACATTTTCCAAGTCTGCATTGACCTCTTTCAAGGCAACCTGTACCATCTTTCATTGGTGGAGATCTGGGACATTCACTAGATGCTCCTGTACATCGTGATTCTTGCTCGCAAGTAGCATATTGTGCATCGCGACATTTTACACCTAATGGCATAAATGCACAACCTTGACAACAAGGTGAATTTTTATCGCTGAAAGATATATATCAAATATAGAAATTTAAAAACAAAATATTTAATTTATGGAATGTAGACTATATATTAAAATAATATATTATATAATATAATTATAATAATGATCAATTACCTACAAACTGCTCCTTGATTTCTACGAAGTTTACAATTTTTATCGCAACAAGCATCATTATCTTCTGTACCAAGTAATCCTGCATCACATTCTTCATCTCCTTCAACTCGTAAATTACCACAAAATGATTCTTCAGGTTCAGAAAAACAGCGACCTGACTTTGCTTGTAATACTTTTCTAATGGATCTTAAACTACATGGTGAAAAACGCTAATCCATAAATAATTAACAATAAGTATTTTCTTATTATTATTATTCTCTTTTTATATAAATTGAATGTACCTTATTATTTACATCATATCCACTAACGCTATATGTGTACATTAAATATGAACCTCCTTGACTAGCACTTGGACTACATTCCTATTAAAAATATTATCTTTTAATATATAAAAATTAGATTGTTTTTATTGAATTAATTTTCCTAAAAACATTAGATATGATGCAAATAAAAAGTTACTGTTATATCTGGATCATGTTCAGAACCCCAATTATGTCCAAATTCATGAGCAGTAACTAAATCTGCTTCTCTTGTGATAACTCTTTGCCCATAATGATTTCTACTAGAGCTTAAACCTGAATTAAGATATAATGTATAACCATTTTTAAAATATTCTGAAACATATTAATATTGAAATAAAATTAATAAATTACTTATAAATGATTAAAGATAAATTTTATTAATGTACCTGGTGTACAAATTCCTCCTACTGAATTTCTACGAGGAGATCCAACATATGCTAATCCTAGAATACCACCTTCAAATTTGAGATCAGTAAATAAATGAGCTAAACAAAAATCTTTATGGCTATATTCTCGACTAAAAACCTAATCAATTTCATTTAATTAATAATAATAAGACTGTAGTATTTTAAATAAAGGTACCAAAAAAATAAATTTACCTCAAGTAACGTACGAACATCCCATTTTTCTCTAACCATATTATAATGAGTTTCACCACCTCTTCCGCGAGTTGGTTCACTATGAACTACAATTTTTTTAATAACAAAACCCATTCCTTTAAAACCATCTTGTTCTTGACGTTCTTGCCATAAGGTATCATTATAAATTTTATGTACTCTATCAATTAAACTTATCTAAAAAATAAAGATTAAATTATTACTTGAAATAAATTATGATTTTTATATCAAATAATGCAATCATATACTAAATAATTAATTGTAGTTTTTGTACTGCTAGCACCCATCTCTTGATAAAAACGATAATCAGCTACTAATAATAAAGGACATCTTGTTTTTGTTGGAGTATATTCATAAGTTTCTGTTTGTCTTTTAATTCTAGAATGTTCATTTAATTTAAAATTAGATTCTTCTATATCTTCCTCTCCTTCATTATTTACTGAAATGTCTGTAATATAAATTTTACATAAAATATATTACTGATTATATATCTGAATTATAATCTCTAGTAGAATTTTTTATTTAAAATAAAAAATTAACCTAATTTTTCTTTTATATATCCACAAGTTTTAGGAGCACTATGTGTATGCCCTTCTCCATGTTGAAAATGTTCCCAACTAAATTTAACATCTGATGATTTATAAATGATCATTGTTTCATTTCCTAAATGAGGTAAATGTCTCCAAGATGGCTATTATAAATAATAAATAAAAAATTACAATTTGCATTCTCTTGAAATTTACACAATTATTTATATCTATCTATACCTCAATATGAAATGATTCATCAGAGATTGCAATAATGCCTGTAAGAATACCATTATCAATATGCATTTGTGCATGAGAATCAATTTCACCAAATACTCGTCCATGATAAAAACTTTCATGATCTAAAATAGAATAAATTTCATGATTTAAAATAATTTTTAATTTCTATGATTTAAAAATAAAATAAAATAATATAATATAATATATATTTATTAAATATGAATATACATATATATATATATATATATACATACATATATATATATATATATATATATATAAATTATAATAAAATTAAGATTACATTATTTATTATTTTATATTATTTTATTTTATATTAAATTATTTATTAAATTATATAAATTATAATAAATTTAAGTTTTTTTTATTAGATAAATGAAACAAAGATAGAGGAAAATGACAAAATATGAATAAATGAATATGACAAAATAAAATTGTCTCATTTTATTTCTATCTCGTTTCATTTAATGTAAACTTAAATTACTAATATATAAGCCTCAATTAGCATTTTTTTATATCAATTTTTGTTTTAATCTTTAGAATTTGTTTTAATCTATTTGTTTTAATCTTTAGAATCAATTTTTGAAAAATTGATTCTTTATTCTTATAAATATATTAATATTTTGTATATATAAATATATTTAAATATATTGTTCATAATAATTATTTTTATTAATATTATTTTACCTAAATGTATAGTTTTTTCTTCTCCATCACCATTAACTTCATATGCTTTAAATTTGGAATGAATAACTTCTTTCCTTGGTGTTAAAATTAATCGAAAATACCTATTAATAAAGAGTAGTTTTTTTATAATTTTTTATGATTACATATATATAATTAAATATATTACCGTCCATGAGAATAAAATTTTAATTCACTTATTTTATTATAAGGATGATAACTATGTTGAATACCCCGTTTTATAATATTATGTTGAAAATTAGATATATGAAGAGTTTCATAATATTTTAAATTTCTATAAAGACTATCTGAAAAAGCATATTTGTAAATAAAAGGTTATAATTAATTGTGCATATAATATATACTTTAAAAATTAATAAATAATAAATTTGAATATATATTATATTTAACATAATATATTTATATTATATATTTAATTTAACATATTATAAACTTACAAGTGTTTTGTATAATAAATAATATATAATATATTGGAAATATATTTTGAAATTTCATATTTATTAGAATATTTCTTATTATATATACATATTAAATTTTGTTATATTTTAAGAACATTCATTCATACATTACAGTACTTTACTTATTATAACTTTATATCATGTATTTTTATAACTAATATTCAATATAAATAATTTTTCTTCTAATATAAAATGTGATATAAACATGAAAATGTTTGATTTTAAAATATATTCAATGGTGATCAACTGTAATATTTGAAATATTATTTAATTTATTTTAAATATGTCATATTTTTTATTATTTCTTTTATATTTGATGATAAATAATAATCACAATATAATTATATACACAAAAAAAAATATTTTTAAAAGATTGTTTTTTTTAAATTTTTTAAATAATTCTTATAAATTTTAATATAACTCTTGTCTTATTATTATATTGTTCATGATAATATGTTCATTGCAATCGATTCAAACTTTTATTAAATGCTTTATTTAAAGGTTAAGATTCTCTAGAACATGCTAGAAGTTTTTCGGAACTGTAAAAACAGAAAGGTTATAATCAGTACTACTATGTATTAATCATTTGCTAACGTTGTAACTTGTATGGTTGACGTACCTATAATCCTATATAATACGTGTATAAATTAAAATAAAAGAAAGTTAAAAATGTCGCAAGAAGCAACTTTATTACACTGTTATAATCGTGGTTGTGGAAAAAAGTTTGATCCGAATGACAATAAAGAAGGTACGATAAATATTTAGAGAATAAATTATATTAGAAAAGTTTAGAAATCTGATAATTTGAAAAATTATTTATTTATTTTTTCAATATATAGTTAAAAATCATATAAGAAGATTTTAATTATAACAATTATTGTTATTACTTCTCCAGGAGACTGTATTTATCATCCTGGACATCCAGTATTTCATGATGCTTATAAAGGCTGGTCTTGTTGTAATAAGAAATGTACAGATTTCACAGAGTTTTTAAATATTAAAGGCTGTGCAAAATCATGTCATTCAAATATTAAACCAATAGAGCCAGAAAAGCCTATTATTGATAAATCAAAATCAAATGAAATAATTGAAGTAATTGCTCAACCTCTTATCAATGAACCTATTTTAGAAAGGCCTCCTTTTGATACTCCACAAATGACATTAACTCCCAATGTGTCACCTAATTTATTAGAACAAATTAAAGGATTAATTTCTAATGTATCAAAAAATACATTTGATACTAAAGTTCAAATTGGACAAAGTTGTAAAAATAATTCATGTAAAGCTACATATAATGGCCCTGCATCTGAAAATGAAATATGTAATCATCATCCTGGAACTCCTATTTTTCATGAAGGAATGAAATATTGGTCTTGTTGCCAAAAAAAAACTACAGATTTTTCTACATTTTTAGAACAACCAGGATGTACACAAGGAAAACATATTTGGATTTCTAAAGTAAGCTTTAAATGTTTATTTGAATATTTTTTATTTATATTTTATATAATAATATAAGTTTTAATAATATTTTTAAATATTTTAATAAATTTTTTATAAAAAAACATTATTTTTTAGAATACTGATAAAAAAGTTAAATGCAGAATGGATTGGCATCAAACAGGATCATTTGTTGTAGTTTCAATTTATGCTAAAAAATATCAACCAGATCAATCACTTGTTAAATTAAATCCTATAAGATTATCTGTAGATTTATTCTTTATAGAAGAAAATTCTAGATATAATCTTGATATAGAATTGAGAGGAGTATGTATATATATCTTTATATAATTTGAAGTAATTCTTAAACATATTAAAATTTTTATTATTAATTTGTATAAATTATAGATTGTTGATGTGACACAAAGTAGTGTTAATATGCTTCCTACTAAAGTTGAGATCAAATTAAAGAAAGCAGAATCTGGATCATGGGCAAAATTAGATTTTCCTAGAAAAAATGAAGAAGAAACAGAAGAAAATAATCAAAATAATGAAAATATTAATAATATGGAAATTGATGCTGTAGATCTTAGTGATCTTTAAATATTCATATCTAAATAATTAATTAAGAATATTATTGTAAATTATGTACCTATATTATTTTTAAGGATATTATTTTTATTTAATGATGCAAAGAAACATTATTTTCTTAATGTTGATGGAATTATTTCAAAAAAAATGAATACTTTAGTATTTTAATTTTTGTTAATTTTCATAGTAAATGAAATATATAAAAAAATCTATTATCAAAATTTTATATTTAAAAAAAATATTACATCTTTACATTTCATGTTTTATTTATGATTTTTCCAATATCAATAAATCATTTTTAATTTATATTGTGTTTTAATACAAATTAATACAATTTTAAAGTTAAATTCTAAACATGACTTATAAATTATAATTTATAAATTAAATTTTCATAAAATTAATATCATTTCTTTAATTTACTTTCGATTTTGACATGTTTTATTAAAACATCGATGGAATACATTCAATGGCGGATATTGATTGATAAATACAAAATAAATATTTGGTAAATATATTAAAATTCAAAATAGTTATAATTAGTAATAATATTTATATTAAATGTTATATATGAAAGAAAAACCAGATATTTAGAAAATTTTTTCATCTTTCATATTTTTTAGAGAAATTCATGATGCAATCATGAATTTCTCAACTGTCAAAATATAATTCCATAGCGTTGATAACATTACCCAGTATAACCTATCTTTTTAACGTTTAAATTGTGTAATCTTGATTTACGTTTGCTATTTTTATTATCCTATAAATAATATAGAAAGCTATATAATCTATACCTTTTATTAAATAAAATTAAATTGTTTCGATTACAATATAAAAAAAAGTTATTTTTTGCAATGTTTCTAATTTAATAAAAGATAAAAGTTAAATGATAAATATATATTTAATAACAATTATTTTGAGTGATTTATTAACGTTATGAGTAATTTAACAAATAAATTGCGGGTAAGAAATAATCATTATATAAGTATAAATAAAAATATTTTTTAAAATATTCATATTATATTAGATACTTGCAATTCATGGATATGCTCAATCAGATGATATTTTTAAAACAAAATTAGGTTCTTTTCGAAAAGGATTTAAAAAAGAAATTGATTTCGTATTTTTAAAAGCACCACATAAAGTTCCAATGAAAAGTAATTTTGATATTGATGATGTTGAAGAAGGTATTTTATAAATTTTATATTTGATTAAATAAATAAATAAAATTTATATATATATATATCATATATTATATAATTAATTAATAATAATTATATTTTTAATTTATAAATAATTTAATATTAAAATAATAAAATGAAAATAAATATTATAACTATTAGCATATGGATGGTGGTTCAATACAAAAGATCATATATTTAAAGCAATTGTGCCAAGTAACTCAGTTATAGGTTTTGAAGATAGTATAATTGTAATTGAAAAGGCATTTCAAGAATCTGGACCTTTTGATGGCATTTTAGGATTTTCACAAGGTGCAGCATTTGTTGTTATACTTTGTTTTATGCAACAAAAAAATTGTAAGTTTATATAAAAGATATAAAAAGAAATTATTAAAATATTAATTATAAAATAAGATTTATAATATTAAAAATAACATTCTTATTAGTGTTACAAATCAAATTTGATTTTGCAATTATTATATCGGGATTTAAGTCATTATGTGCACCTCATGCAATATATTATGATGGAAAAATAAACATACCTTCTTTACACATATATGGAAAGACTGATAAAGTTATACCAACAGGTAAGATTTTTGATTTTTAAATTAATAATATAAATAATTATTGCATTCTTTAATAGAAATGGCAGAAGAAATTACTGAAATGTTTATAAATAAAATAAAAATGACACATGAAGGAGGCCATTATATACCAAGTAAGAAAGAATATTATAAAGAATTTATTATGAAAATGTTTTTAAATAAAAACAAAAATAATTAGAAATGTTTAATTATTATATATCTTATGATATATAAAAGATATTATTTATATTAAAATATAAACAATATAAATCTATATAAATTGTAAAATATAAGTACAAGTAAAATATTAGAGCAATATTAGTAAATTTATTTAAATCAATTGTAAGTAAACATTGTATAATATTTACTAGAAATGAAATTTGTTAACATTTTATATTTAGAGTTATATATAGTAGCCAAGATAAGAGAACATAAATATAATAATAAATTGAAATTATTTTATTCAAAATAATCTAATATTTGCTTACTATTTCATATTAATTATATTATATGATTAAAAATTGCTTAATTGTTTTATAAAAGGCACTACTAATTTTAAATGTTCAGTATTTGAAAACTTAAATTACATATTAAAAATGTATTGAATAGTGCCTTATTTATTAATTTATTTATTTTGAGAGAGTATATTAATTGTTTAACTTAATAATATTCATACTTTCGTACAAACTTTATGATATATTTAAGATGAAATATATTTTTTATGCGTAGTAAGTTAAATGCTTATATAGATATCAATTATCTTGGTTTATATGTTGTAATTATCCATTATTTTTAATTTAAAGATATGTAAATTTATATAAATTACTATTGCAGTAGTGTATATTTAGCATTTTGAATTACTAGCATCCAAATTTTTTTAATAATGTCTACATTATATATTAAATATTGTTTAATAATTTTAAGAAGATTATATTTTAATGCATATAACTCAATAATTAAATTAATTTATTACAGTACAGTAATATTTTAATTTTTAATATTATTTGTTTAGAGCAAACAATTCAATGCATTATATTTTTAATGCTATTTAATGTATTACATTTTTATTTTTGAATAATGATACTGCAACATATTTGAGAGTATTTTATATATTAAATATATGAATACGTTTAACGTATTCATAATACTGCATAGAAGTATATCATTTTTCAATCCATAATTCTATGTAATAAATATACATGCAATTCATCAAATAAATAAAATAACGAACACGCAAATAAAGTTAACAAAATTTTATGGTATAGCAAAATATAATTGATAGAAATATTGTATTTTATACCAAAATGATTATTTACTTGATTTAATGTATCAAATGTAATCAATTTGTTAAAATTACGTACACTATTTATAATGTATCACATTTTCAAATTTCTATTTTGTAATTGTAAAACTTAATTTTCAAAGTTTTTACAATTAATATTTTTTAATTTTGCATTTTAAGTAATAAATTGATGTTGCTATATATATTTTACAAAATTTGAGGCGTTTTATATTTAAAGCTTAATAAAAAAAATTTATGGAAATTTATAAACTAAAAAAATGAATTGGATATGAATTAAATTATAGGGATAATTACAAAACATTGTAAGATAAAATACAAACTACAATCATAATTTACATGTGACTGAGGTATTTGATCTATCTTGGCAATAATAACAAAGTGTTGATATATTTTTATATCTATAAAAGATTACAATAAACTTGGATGATGTACTGTATTATAAATTTTATATTTTATTATTTTTTTCAGTCAAATGGTCAAGTACAAATAATACTTGATCATTATTCACAAAAAACAACAAAAATAAAAAAAATTAATTAACCAAAAAGTTAACAATAGTCTTACCTACAGAAGTTAAAAAGCCTCAAGACACTTTTAATATTCGTATAAACTTGTATGTACCTAATATTCACATCATGTTTGCTTAAGCTGTTAGCCTTTTTGGAAATATTTGACAATTATAAAATTGTATTGAATTCAACACTTTATCATCAGTTGTTTCACAATGTTTCAAGGTGATTGTTCTTGTCCATTAGTTTCTTGAGATTTCATAACATCTGGTAAATCAGGTGGTAATGAAAATGGTGTCATCTCTAAAGGTTCGAATTGACCATTATCTTGACGTATAGCTAATCCTACTAATGCAGGACATTGTGGTTTTGCAGTTGCTGATGTTAATCCATAATCAGATAAAAATTTACTATCTGACATAAGAACATTATCCTTGTTGAACAGCTGTTGATTCACAGGTGATATTTTCAATATACCTATAAAAAAATTACATTAATTCTAAATTACTTTAAATTAAAATCTATAAATATTTATATCTATTAAGTATTCATAAATTTTATGAAAATTTAAATATAAAGAAAAGGAAAAGTAAAATTGAAATTTCTTTTGTAAAATATTATTATAAGATTTTTTTAATACAATACATGTAAATTATATATTTCTTACCTTCTATAATTTTTTTAAGTTCAAGAACTGTAGTATTATCCTTAGCGTCAGTAAATATTGTCATATTTTTTCGTCGAATCATTAGAAATACATCCTAAGAAGAAAATCTCAATTATGTTTGAGGTTATCTTATATTAAGATAAATCATATAAATACTATAAGAAATAATTGAATATTGACAAGAACTTACCATTATGAATTTACCTATATACTTAAACTGACAAGAACAATTAATATATAGATCTTGTGCAATGCTCCTTTGTTGATTATTGTTTACTTGTAGTTCGTCAGGTTAAAGGCAAAAAGTTAAAATAAGGTAGACACTCACGGACAATATAATCATATAAAACACTTCATTTCATTGGTTCTTCTTTCTAAACACAAATTCTGTTTGGAGCATTGTTTGTTTCTTTAACCAATCACAAATTGGTTTTATATTTAACATTTAACTATGAATCCTTAAATCAGAGATAATATTTTTAAATACCTCTTATATACATATGTGTGTTGATACATCAAATTAATAAACAAAATACAAAAATAGTAAAATCATTATATTATATATATTTAAAATGCTAAATTAAATTTATCTTGAATGTTATATTTTAATACTATAAATTATAAAACATACACAAAGATTTATAACATAACATTTTAATTTCTATTATACATTAAAATTTAAAAATGTACAAGTTTATTAATATGGAATTATAATTTCAATATGTATCAATAGATATATTGATTTTATTATTAAAAATTTATATAATATAATATGCCATGATAACTTCTTATAATTAATCGAATTTTATGAATAGAATTTATATTATTATATAATATTCATAAAATTAATTATTAAAATAATATACAGGATTAATACAATTATGGAACATTTTTGGAGGGTCAATTCTCAAACGTCAAACAAAATTTAATATATAAAAATATCAATTGAGTTTTATTTATTAAATTATAAGCAACTTAAATTTATATTAGATGAAATAAGATAGAAATAGCGATGTAACGGAGATAGAATAGATTCATTCTATTTTCATCTCACTTATAACAAACTTAAATTGCTTATAACTTAATAATAAAATAATAAATTCAACTAACATTTTTGTATTTGTTTGATATTCCAGAATCAATCCTCTAAAAATATCCCATAAATATATAATAATATCCTGTATATAATAATAATAAGTAATATTTTTAAATAGATATAAAAAAAATGTTTTAAAAAAATAAATAAATAAAATTTATTCTAAGATATCATATGAAATAGAATCATAATTTATATGGAAGTACTTTTTAGGAATTAAATTGGTTACGTATGCCTAATTTCCAAGAGAAGGTCCTTGGCCTTATAGATACGAAGGCGTCGAATATTCGTGAATGAATCTTCTTTCTGCAGTGACGTCACTGGTTGCCATTAGTCCATCGAGTTGCTTATAAGAAAAGCGCGATCTATGAAAGAGCGCTTGCGCTTTTCAAAATGACTTGCTGCGCGGCGCTCTTGGGCTTTCCAATGGAGACTTGATGAAAGCTCCTTTCGTTCACAACTAGAATCTCATTGCGACTAGACGAAATGCGACCATATCCATCTGCGGAGTATTTTTTCAAGAAAGTTAAACGGCTACGAAATTGCAAAAACATTTAACAAGCAATCGGAAGGTAAAAACGAAGAAACTTCATCGTCGTATGTCCTGGTGCGTGATACATATATTGTGAAATTTCGAATAATGTGCAACGATTTTTGAAAAAATAGAGGAAATTTTTGGAAGTCTACACTATATTTTTCCTGTTAGTTAATCATCTACATATATGAGCATTTTGTTTTTGATTGATCGATAACCGTGAATTAGGTCGTTCACAAGTCGCGCCCTGAATAGTGGAACATTCGCACAAAATTCGTGAAGGTGGAAAAGATTCTAAATTGGTGTTCGAACGAGCATCAGACAACAATATTATATGTCTTGAGCAACGTCGACATATATGATGAAATTGCAGTTGCTCGTAATCGAAACGGATTACTGCTGGAGGAAAGCGTTGCTTAGGTAAGCAAGTAAACGAGGATTCCAAGCAAACTGCTTATGCTTTTAATATTTGTCACTAATGTTAAGCTTGTTTAGCAATATAACATTTAAATTTCTATTTGCGGTATTAGATCGATAATATTGTATTGTGTCATGATAAAAAATATTCAAAGATTTAAAACATTAAATTATTAATAAAAAATATAATCAAATTAATATTATATAATAATTTTAATATTAATATTTTTTAAAAAAACAAACATTCAATAAACAGAAATAAATATTAAATATAAATATAAAAATTAAACATAAAATTATTAAATTATTATTATAAATATTTTTAATTTAATATAATAATTTTCAAATAATTTTATATTTCTTTTTTAAAAATGTAAAATTTTATTTTATATTTTATATTTTATATTATTTTATATTTTTATACATTTATAAAAATAACTATCACATTAATTTCTGAATACAATTATTATAACTTTTAAATAACTTTCTATATTATAATTAGTTTTAATTCAAAGAGTCAAAATTAAAAAATTTTAATAAAAAAATTTTTAAAACATTTAAATATACCGCCAATATATATGTCGATAAAGTCAATGATTAACAGCTGTCGGTAGTAAACTTCAATCAATTACGACAATCGCCGCTATGTGCGCGTTGCTCTAAGGAATGTAATGGCTTGTACTAGGAAGAAAATACAATGATGATTCAGAACACGCTTTGGCTCTCTCAACTGGTCTTTCTCGTTTTACACTTTCACGGTCCTTTGACTGACGCCATCTTCAATCTTTTTTTTGTTTAAGTGTCAATTTTATGGAATTGTATGTTATATAGTGGATATCATAAAAACGTTATGAGTGTGATCAGTGAGTGTAATGAACGAACATCGAACAGCCGATCATCTAAATTGAAATGATAGAATGATCGCGATATGAGTTTGCGTCGTAGATCTAGTCTTCAACCATCCCTGAAAGGTTGTGAACCAGAAAGAAGTCATTAGCAGTCCAAGTGTCCATGTAAAAGTCATTCACTTGAATTCTTCCCCTTTGAAGTATTGTTGGTTAGTTTATGTGTTGTTTGATACATGTGTTTTCTTTTTTATTTTTCTGTTGCACTTTCGCGGAACACATTGTTAAAACGAAGAAAGTCGAGTCTCCGTTTATTGGTTATGTTTCTTGTAATCGCCGTAAATCGCACGCTTCTGTAGCACGTTCCGAGTAGTGAAAAATTGAAAATATAAAGTAGTGTGTGTACGTAGAAATAAAATGCACAAGTTAAGATTACCTGTCAAGGTTGAATTGCTGCCCAGTGCTTTAACAAGGTATGGAGATATTTGATCTACAGGTATCGATACAAACTCTTTTCTTTAATTTTATGCATTGTCTTATAATCTTATGTAATATATGTCGTAAAATTATGTTTTCAGATGTAAACAATTATTTTACGGTAATGAATAGATAGATTTTATTTTAATTAATTATCTTTCTTTTATATTATAATATATGACACAATTTTGTTCCAAATAAATTTAGTCAAATTTTATTTATGTTTTATAGAACATAATCTAAGTAAAAATAATCTAAGTAATTGTATGCTTTAAATATAGCAGTATAATTACATGAAATTGTTACATTTTGAGATTAACTTTTCGAAAAATATTAGTATCGATACATTGTTGTTCAAATTTATTATTTTTTAAATGTATTAAAATATTAATAATAACTTTTATTTTGTTTACGTTTGTTAGAAATATGCAAGTTATAAAAATTTAGATTTGTATTATGCATGTTTCTAATTGTATTGACAAGCATGGCAGTGTTATACATTTATATATGTATGATATTATGTATATATGATAATATAATATTACAAAATTTGAGAATTTAATATATTTTATTCTGTCATCAGATAAGAAAATTGAAAAATTAGTTGTTATTTTCAACAATATAATTTATGTTTAACAATTCTAATTAATATTTTGTTATCATTTTATGATGTCGTCTTCATATGAAATATTTCTTATAAAATATGATTTATTATTTTATTGATTTGATTGATTATTAAAGCAAGTATAAGATAAAATTATTATTATTAAATAACAAAAGTAATCATAAAAATAATACTACATAAGAGCATTTTTAAATTCATATATACTGATTTTAATAAACGTGAAAAAAAATGCTCAAAAGATGTATATTAAATTATGTTTTAAAGTATTAAAAAATTTTGTTCGAATGTATATTTTTTCATAATAATAATTCGAATTCGAAATTATTCGAATTGTTTTAAGAAGAGCATATTCATTAAAGAATAAATTAATGTGTCAAGTGTATATGTAAATGAGATTGGATTTGAGTTTAAATTTTGGCTAAGTTAGGTTAAGTTTGGATTAAGTTTAGGTTATTAGGTTAAGTTTTCATTAGATTACAATTAGAGTTAAAAAGTTTTTCAAATACAAAACTGAATTTTATACATACTATTAAAGTATTATTAAAAAAATATTATTAAAAATAGTTATTAAAAACAATGTATAATTTTTTTCTAATTTTTTTATATATATTATCAAAAAGAATCATATGCAATCAAATAATGCTAATTTTTTTTTTTGAGATTTGAGATTATATTATCGTAATTATTCTAATTAAACATAAACTGTATTATCGTTATCGAATTAAAATATTTCATGAAAATTATTTATATCATTAATTCAAGAAATTTAATAAAAATATATTTAATAAAAATTTTATAAAAATAAATTTGATAAAAATTTGATTTATAATGACAGAATAAAATTGTATATGTATTGTATATATGTATTTATATATATTATACATATAAATTTATTTCAAATATAAAATCTTTATATTTGAAGTAAATTTCAAACCATGATATATAACACATATGAAGATACGTTAATTCATCACAATATAGTAGAAGTGAATGTCTATTCTTCTACTAATTGAGCTGCAATTGTTAAGACGTTCACGCCACTATTCTTATGGAAAGCAGCTGACCTTGACAATCATAAAACCTAATACAAGTTGCAGAGCCCTACCCATCTGTTTCTAACTCTAACTCTCATATCATTTAGTTTCTCGTTTCTTATGATACATTTCTAGTAGTTTCTCTATGGACTTCGTTCGTGAGACATCAAGTACGGTGTCTTTAATATTTTAAAAGATAATTTTAATGTGATTCATAATTATATATTTTTATTATTATGTATTTCATGTAAGTCAAGTTTTTGTGAAGAAGTGACAAAAATTATTTAAGTATTTAATTTTCAATATTATTTTCAATTATATAATATATTATAAAATAATATAATAATTATTAAATAATATAAGAATATATAATATATAATAAGAATAATTCGTAATAAGATGATTAAAAAAATTTTTTTCTTATTTTTTATTTGTATAGTTTTTTATAAAATTATTTGAATTTTAATGAGAGAGAGAAAATATCCGAAATATTCAGATAGACTAAAGGATTAATGAAAACAAAAAAGACTTTTTAAAGAATATAATAAGAATAATTTATAATAAAAATTTTCATTGAAATTGACGTGGTGTGTTCTTCGAAGCAAGTGATCGATCGTTTGTAGTCGTTTATCGAAGGGCGATGAAGTAAATGCGAGTTCTCCCTGAACCACCTGTGTATATTTTCGAATGCGCGCGCGCGTATTCGCAGTTTCTCGGTACACGTGCACTTAACGACTTGATCTAGAGAACAGTACGAACAGTTCGACTCTCGACTACTCACCTATGTAACGTTTCTCCTAGTGTATTTTTGGCATCGCACTTCTCACGAGACTACACAGCCACAATTCTAACTTTCATTTATTTAATATAAATCAAAAATCATATTGTGGAAAATATTCATCATTTAAACTTCGATTTTGAAATTTGAATCGAGTTACAGTTATATTTCTAACGATATAATTAATATAACGGTTGATATATTTCTTTGAAAATGTATTATTTAATGTACTGTCGATAATGTGAATGTGCAGAAACCTTCGAACCTGGCCGAGTAATGCAACCGCGGTTATATGATTCGGGTAGTTTTCGGTGTCGCACCTTTCACGAGACCTTGGTATAGTCGATTTAGACTTCTTTATTCAAAACTCTGTTGCTGGACATTCGTCATTAAAATTATGACAGTCTCGAACTGATTTTGTTCTTGTGTTAGTGATAATTCAAAACGTGTTAATGTGTGAATTTACGTGATGAAATAACATTAGTTCCATCAGGAAGTTTTTATGTATCAAGTATGTAAAATATTATCAATATCATATATTAAATGTTGATTTCTAATTGCAAAGAAATAATATAAATACATTTTAATAATTTTTCTTTTCTACATTTTCTTTTTTCTATTAATATATTAATTTAATGTTAATATTTTTTCAATATTTACGTGAAAATGAAACTTTTAATTATATT